CATTAATCCTTACAGTTTGAAAAATAATTTTTTGATCATGTGTCATTAGAATCATTGTAAATCAATATGATATCAATAAAAATTTATTTTGGAAACATGATAGTTTCACTTTGACATCGTGTTTAAAAGAACTTCAATTGTTTACAAATTATTTAATTCGCGTTTATTGGTTACAATTAAATTTCAAGCAAATTTCCCCCTATATTTGATATTTAATAAATTTGTTAAAATTTATATAAAATTATTGCATATTAATAGCTTAGTTTATTAACTATATTTAAGTTAAAAATTAAATAAATGAATAAAATCCAAATCTATTTAATAGCATTATTATTAATATTATTAACATTAGTCTAAATTTGGTAATTTTTGTTGTGGTGAAATTAAATAGAAATTTGGACAGCCTACTCTGTACAACCCACAAAATGGTTGGGCGCATGTATGCGGTCTAACAATCTGCAGGGTTTTGGTGGCGCACTTAGGGTTACAGGTGAACGCCATAAGCAGAGAGTACCGGTGCCCAGAGGTGAACCTCTCGACGAAGTGCTCGTTCTCTGCGCCCGACGTGAACGCCGCCAGTCGTCCCAACTTAGGCTCAATTGTATGGTTCGACATCTGGTCCGTGAATATAAAGCGTCCGCCCGTGAAGTCCGCGCCATATGTCGACAAATACAGCAATGATGTGAACGAATAGCACTTAGCAGTGTGTCTATCGACGTGTCGGACCCAATACTTGTCGTCTTTGGTTTGGGCTCTCTTTGGTGTCTTTCTCGCGAAGAACGTCGGGTTAGTTAAGTAGAGCCGACCGAAAGGGACGCCAAAATGGTATGCAATCGTTTTGCGGACTTTGTTCGTCACCCGTCTGTAGACTTCTAAGTCTTTTCCGGTGAACACCTCTTCATTTTGTTCTCGACTTTCAATGAGTTTATAGATATTCACGAAATAGGACGCCCGTATGTAAGCTGAGGATATCCTCGCCGCCCGAACGGCCGCCTAATGATAGGCCTCTCTTCGCCACTGATAACAAGTGTTTGGCATCCGATTGAGTGATCACCGAATCGGACACAAAACGTCCGCATCGTTGAGGACCGCAAGATGGGAACCGAACTCTGTCTTCGGTATAGTCTTGAGAACACGTGACTTGTTGTCCGATCGGCGAACCCATTATGGATTGAGTGACGGTAGCCATCACTAGTTCATTGGTATCATTGGTTTGAGTCGTGTAGTAGTAAACCATCGCAAAGATAACCATCGAGAGTGCCATTAGACTCATCACTCGCTTCGTAATACTTTGGTTTTGTGTGCTTTCGGGCGACACTTCTTGAGACGTCAAGTTATCCTCATTTGAGTCGCCATTCCTATTGACAACTCTTTTACGTCGATTGAGTACATCCGAAGACATTGTGTGACCAATGAATTTATAATCCAATTAAATATCAGTGAAAGTACAGAAAACAGGACAGTCCTGAATCCAGATGTGCCCGGTGTACCTTTCACAAATATTGTTACATTTTCTGGGTTACTTATGGGTTAAAAATTGCACGTAATTAAAAATATGGTTTACTACAGGTTTGATGACAAATGTTTACCCCATAAACAACAAGAAATGTAACTATATTTGTGAAAGGTACATCTGACACATCTGAGTATTGCTTAACAGATACTACTTTTTTTAAATTAATACAAAAAACATATAATGATTGTTTAAAGCATAATTTTATAATTTAGAGCCACTAGGAGGATAATTTTAGGTATTATGGAAATTGTTAATTACTATTTAAAATAAATTTACTTTAACTTGTATAATTAAGATTTATGTAAAAGATAAGAAATAAAAATTAAGCTAAACTTGAGAAATTTATAGCATAGTATATTTTTTAGATTTATAACTAATAATTTAGCAATTTGTAATTTAGTAAATCACATGAATCGTCTACACTTTAAGAGTTGATTATTAAAAACTTTTATTCTGGAAACTAAACATTAATACAAATAAAAGGAAAAACATTTTGATTATAGTTTAAAGAGTTGGGTCCAACTTCTTAAGCAGTGGTTCCATAGTCTGCTGCCACACCTCATACCCCTTCTCATTGAGATGTAGTTTGTCTTTCACGTAGAGCTCTGTGTGTTGTTTGCCATCCGTCTCATAGGCTGACCACATGTCCAGGAAGAAGACGTTTTTATCGTTATTCAATTTCGCGATCAATTCATTCACTTGTTTCACTTTAGCACCCAATGGCTCAGGTCTGGGCAGTACTCCCAACAGAATAAGCTCAGTGTTCGGCATTTTGCCCAACAATTGCTTCACCGTTTCGTTAACTCCATGCGCGATGTCCTCAACCGTATTGCCGCCGTAGGCATTGTTTGTGCCTTTCATTTTGTAATTTGTTTATAAATATTCATATTTTAAACTTAGATTATATATCTGATCTTGAAAAACAAATTCAGGATTATCTATAGGATATGAATTTAAATATTTTTCATTGCTTTCAAGTAAAGTATAAAACCTAATAAAGTTTAATATAAGTAGCATGCATTGTACATAAATAAGTCTATGACTATTTTTATATTTGAATAAATACTTATTCAATATACAATGCATGCTACTTATATTAAACTTTATTAAATTTTACTCGAAAGCAATGAAAAATATATAAATTCCTATCCTATATATAATCCTGAATTTGCTTTCCAAGACCAGATATGTTTACAAACCAATCATGAGAATAGTGACTCTGGGGTAGAGTCCATCAAATTCTTGATTTTGAATTCTGTAGATCACGTGTTGAGTCTGATCGCCCCGAATGCCGTAATTGTACGCATGTCTCGCCGCGTAATACTTGTCCCAAACGACTTTCCCGCGGCTCTGCCATAAATGTGTGATGGAGTCGCCCACGAATACGATCTTCGCATCGGTTTTATGTGCGACCGTCTGATCGATCAGTTCATGGTGTCTGTCCACCCAAAACTTGTTACCTCTGGCCCGGGGTTCCCACGGGATGTCTTGAGTGACGGAAGTCATCACTAGTTCTTTGGTGTCATTGGATTGAGTCGTGTAGTAGTAAACCATCGCAAGGATAGCCATCGAGAGTGCCATTAGACTCATCACTCGCTTTAAAATACTCTGGTTTTGTGTGCTTTCGGGCGACACTTCTTGTGACATCACTCGAGACGACATGTTATCCTCATTTGAGTCGCCATTCCTATTGACAACTCTTTTACGTCGATTGAGTCCATCCGAAGACATTGTGTGACCAATGAATTGATAATCCAATCAAATATTACTGAAAGTACAGAAAACAGATCAGTCCTGAGTCCAGATGTGTCCGGTGTACTTTTCACAAATATTGTTATATTTTCTTGGTCATTTATGGGTTAAAAAGTGTATGTAATTAAATATATGGTTTACTACAGGCTTAATGACAATGTTGAACCCATAAGCAACCACAATAAATGTAACTATATTTGCGAAATGCCCATTGGGACACACATCTGGCCCAGGACCAGAGCGCGATTCCGTCCCAGACTTGTGGGTAAACACAAAAAGTACAGCGAAGGTCGACTAATACTCACATTTTAGTTTTATAGTTAAATTGCAATAAAAGCATATTTTTTAATTGAAAATTAACAGAATTTATATATTTTATTAATTATTAATATAACAAATATATAAACAAGCTAATTAATTAAAAGTCATTAAACATAAAATTTTATGTAAAATATTAAATAAACAATGGTTAAACATAAAAATTTTATAATTCACGATTATTATGCACTTTATAATAATATTATTATTAACGAGAAGCCAAATTCACCAAGTATAGATTTTCATAATTTTTGTAATAAATGACCAAAAATAAAAGTAACAGACTTAAAATTAATAGGTAATTTACTGAGTCAGGACTGAAACAGATACGACTGTTTTGAAATTAAAATGCATTGAAGTTTTTATAATTAATTGCTATAGTTAAGTGTACATTTATCAAGTTGCTTACGGTTAAACATAATTTATTACAATATTTTTGTAAATACTTTAACAATAAAAACTTCGGAACACACTTTTTTGCCACGCATGGCAAACTGCCATACGAAAGTGAGCGAGCTCATTATTTATAAAATTATTATACAATATTAATGTTTTATTTATTTTTAAAAAGTCGTTTCTATATGTTATAGTTAAATCAATTAATTATTTACTAATTATAATTGTAATCACATGTTAATAGCTCTCTCTCTCTCTCTCTCTTCCATTCAGGATCATAAAATTTGGAGAGAGAGAGAGAGAGCTGAGAGCTATTAACATGTGATTACAATTATAATTAGTAAATAAAAGTAACCGTGATCGTATACCTAACAGTTTGACTGCGCAAATGTGAGTGAAAATTGCCAAAACTGTCCGCCAATAGGATCCTATAGAATATAATTAATTAATATTTTTGCCACAAAACATATTGCTTCCCAAAATATATGCCATTACTGCGAGTAAAGTGTTACAAACCAAATAGATTACCAAAATCTCATTGATGTTAAACTAATTAAATAGCCCTGCTCATATTAATCTACTAAACAATACCGTAATCTAGATATACCGCAATAATGAGCGCTTTACTAAACTCTATGCTAATACTAACACTCTTGGCGCTAATATACGCGGATCACGTGGCCGGCCAGGGGGTGGCCTACCGGGTGAAAAGGCAAACCAAAAATGACAAATCTCCTTGTACGATCAAGGTGAATGATAACGACCGGAATAACCTAGGTCAAAGATTGTTGGAGGTGAAAAGGGGGAGCGATTGTGTGAGTACCGCGACCACAGAGTTGAGTAACAAGTTGGTGGGGGTCGGGTGCTAGCGGACCTTTATTAGCTGCCTGGCCGACGAGGTGTGCTCCCCGAACACCATCAACGATGCCAAGGGCCTTTATCGCCTCCTTTATCCAGAGATGTCAGTCAAAAGTCAAGAGTTAATGAGAAATAAATTGATTTATAAAATACTGTCACTTAATATGAAATAAAAAGTTAACTTGTTAAATTAATATGAGAGGAATTTGCAATTAAATAATTTGGTATTAGAGTTGTGGACATGGATGTGACAGTTATGTGATGAGACCATTAGAGGGAAATACATGTCTCGTAGGATTCAAACCTACACTCAATTATCATTCGTACGGTATATCATAACTAATACTATTTTCGCACTTTTTTAATTAAAAGCCAATTTAAACACTGTTGAGAGATACTGAGAGCACCGGTAGCTTTACATATCCTTATTCCTACAAAGCGTGACCCATCACTAGCACCGCCTGTTTTCGGGTCTCGAGCGCCGCGATGTTGTCCTCCGGTGTCTGTTTGTCGGACTCCAGGCATCACTTCTCCATCGCCAGACCTGACCTAAAAGACCCGTTGATGAGAGCCGGGTGCAAATTGCCTTACATCGACTGCCTCATATGGAACCTATGTCAGCCAAAAACCGCCAAGTCCCTAGATATTAAGTCCCTGCTCAAATCTCAGGCCCAGGGAGCGACACCATACTGCCCGTAAAAATAGCGTGTTTTTTATATTGCCTATACCACCTTGTTATTTAATTTGTATTTGAAATAAATCATACATTAATTTATTTATAATTTTTTTAATTTTTTTCTCTCATACATTATGTGATATTAGTATTGAATGAGATGTTAATTACAAATATGACACAAAAACATATGTTTTATTCAATAAGTTTATTAAGCACTGAGACTACTGTAGTTTGTCTAGAAATTAGTGTTAAATTGCAATTTAATTCTTGACTAAACTAAACCTTAAATAACAAATAATTATGCTGATAAATTATCATGATATACAAACATTTACAAAATTATTATAGTGAATGTTATTTAGATAAATTAATAAAATAAAATATTATTAAATAAATTAATAAAATAAAATATATGGCCTATTCTATCTATAATAAATAACTATCATTTATAATCTGTATACCTATATGCCTTATTAGAAAATTATTTTTTTAAGTTTCTATAAATCTATGAAAAATATATCCATGTAACTTATATTGAAATGTCATAAATATATAATTTATATCGAGATGTCTATAACGACTGGTATTTTAAGACACTTTTAAAACAATTTTTGTTTTCTCGAGTCGATTGTGATGTACGTGTGAATGACTTTTCTATGTCTACCGAAGCCATTGTCAAAATATGCTTCATTATATATGATGATTATTATGATATATGTAGAATATTATTTTAAAAAGTCAAAATAAATGATAATAAACATGTCAAATTATATCTACAGAATTTCTATTTATTCGTAAAATTGATTTTTGATAAGGAAAATGGTGCAGGCTATTATTTGCTTATTAATTGTGAAATATTTTAAAATTAATAGTGAAAAGCAAAATAGGAGTTCAAAGTAATAAATGTGCAAGAATATATACATGTTTTATATTCTCGGATAATTCTCTGATACAGTTTGTTGAAATATTTTTTTATGTAAATATTATTTTTATAATTTAACTCTAAATTAAGATTTTAGTTATAAATAATTAAGTAATTGACTTTTATTATTTGGCATTAATTTAAATATAATCCATAAATAGTATGAATTTAAGACTAATTCTGTGGCAAACATTAATATACTTAATGAACACTCATTTAGTCATCTATTTGTCACATATTTTGTTACTTTTAATTAATTTCTAATTAATAAATCAAATTTACATTTAATTCAATTTATTGAAATACTTACCGTAATACCTATTATGATACAATACGGTACGGTATATGATACAATATAATCGACATGTATAATTAATTATAAATAAGTTTATAATGTATAATAATTGATATTATTAAAAACTAAATCACTATAATATAGTAGATTTTCCCATAAACTACTTTATTTTTAATAGCTATTATTATTAAAGTTACTATTATACAGTACAGTTCATAATTTTTTACATGTAAAATAATTTATGAATTGATTGTTAGAAAATGTGCTTGTTTACCAATATTATAATCAATACATTACAATGTATGTTGTAAAATGAATTTATATAATAAAATTCATACAATTTATTGCTATCTACTTAAACCCAATCATAATTATAATTTAAAAACTTTTTTGATACACAAATCATATTATTTTATCATTTACACAACTAATCGTAAGGTTAATGAAAATAGACTATAAGTTTTGAACAGAATATTCTGTATTTATTTAAATTGTGATTTATTTAATTAAATATAACAAGACTTAAATTGAAATAAAATTAAATAAATTGAAATTTAAATATTTAAATATAATTTAGATATTTAAATTATCAATTTATTTAATTTGCTGTTTATTGGTTACAATTTAGTTTCATGTTAATTTCCTATTTCTATTAATTAAGTTACAAATATAATTACAAACAATCAAACATTTATTAAATTTGTTTAAAATGTGTACAAATGTTGTGCATATTTAATAGTTTGGTTTTTAATAAATTTTAATAATAATGGTTTTAAAATATAGTTTGTTTATTATCTTATTAACCATTTTGTGGAACCAATTTAAATAATATCCAGATAGTTTTCTAAATAAAGTAAACTTCTAATTAATTAATGTTGACAATAATCTCATGCAAATTGCTTTAGTATTTATGTTATACTACTGTATGTTATATTTCTAGACAAATTTCATATAAATCCAGAATTTATTATACATTTCGTAGAATTAACAAAATAACTTGATTACAAAAAAACTACAAAAAAAACTTTTCAAAACAGTATTAAAACCCTAAATAAAAAGTTGTTTCCCAAAAAGTTATACAAACTTTTTGTGCCATAAAGCAAAAAAATACAGCAAAATATGTCGAAATTCGCATAAAATTGTCGCTAATTTTTAATACAAAGAGGTTTTTATCAGTTGTCATACATTTT